CACTACCACTCACACACTCACTCACTCACACACTACCACTCACACACTCACACACTACCACTCACACACTCACTCACTCACACACTACCACTCACTCACACACTACCACTCACACACACACTCACACACTCACTCACTCACACACACACACACTCACAAACTCACTCACTCACTCACTCACTCACTCACACACACTCACTCACTCACTCACTCACACACACACACACTCACTCACTCACACACACACACACACACACACTCACTCACTCACTCACTCACACACACACACACACACACACACACACACTCACTCACTCACTCACTCACTCACTCACTCACTCACACACACTACCACTCACCAGGTAACGTTTCTTCGTGTCTCAGAGTCGTTACTTCGTACCTCCAGCAGTCCAGACAGTCTGAGATCCAGAGCTCCCATGATCACCCCGGACCAGGAGACAGGTACTGTAGTTGTAGTATAATCATCAGCAGTAGTAGTATTAGTAGTAGGGTATAATCAGCAATAGTGTTAATAGTAGTAGTACTAGCGTTTGTATTAGTATTAGTAGTAGTAGTAGTAGTAGTAGTTGTAGTAGTCAAGCAACATTGACTACGTTTACATGTTAAAGACAATAGAGCTACCACTTTAGTAGTCGTAGTACTGAGCAGTACTGTAGACCGTGTACTGTACTATAGACTGTGTACTGTGTGTACTGTACTGTAGACTGTGTACTGTGTGTACTGTACTGTAGACCGTGTACTGTGTGTACTGTACTGTAGACCGTGTACTGTGTGTACTCTACTGTGTGTACTCTACTGTGTGTACTCTACTGTTGCCTACTGTGTGTGCTTTCAGGGACTAAACTGTGGCACCTGGTGAAGAATCACGAGCACAGTGACCAGAGAGAAGGAGACCGAGGCAGCAAGATGGTTTCTGAGATCTACCTGACCAGACTGCTGGCTACCAAGGTACCGATCAGTGAGACGAGTCATCACCTGTCGCTCTCTCTGCGCTCGTTTCCTGTTTACATATCATTTTCATATATTACAGGATTCTATTTTAGAAAGAAGAGCTGAGTGGAGAGGTAGCTAACATGCTGAACAGTTCACACAAAAGGGCACATTAACATGTTGACCTGATTATGGTTCTAGATTTAAAAAGTCAGAGGATCACCAAAGTTATTATGATGCATCCTGAGGGGAACATGAACGATGAACCACATCTCATCAACATCCATCCAATAGTTGTTGACATGGTCTTCCATCCTTAGCCCTTTTTTTCTTTGTTTGTTTGTGTAACGTAGCGTGATACATTTATTTTGTAATTATTTAGACATTTGATTCGTGGGTAAGATATTTAATCTGGTGCTTTTGGTCCTCCCACCACCAGGGGACGCTGCAGAAGTTTGTGGACGACCTGTTTGAGACGGTGTTCAGCACCGCCCACCGGGGCTCTGCTCTGCCATTGGCTATCAAATACATGTTCGACTTCCTGGATGAGCAGGCCGACAAACGACAGATCACCGACCCGGACGTCCGACACACCTGGAAGAGCAACTGGTGAGAGAAAATCAAAAGAAAATGACGTTTTCTCACACAAGACATGGAGAATATGTTTGATAAATGTTTATTTTGTGTGTGTCTGCAGCCTTCCTCTCAGGTTCTGGGTGAACGTCATTAAGAACCCTCAGTTCGTGTTTGACATCCACAAGAGCAGCATCACCGACGCCTGTCTGTCGGTCGTCGCTCAGACCTTCATGGACTGCTGCTCGACGTCCGAACACCGGCTCGGCAAAGACTCTCCGTCCAACAAGCTGCTCTACGCTAAAGACATCCCCAACTACAAGAGCTGGGTGGAGAGGTAGCTAACATGCTAACTAGCTTATATCCTATAATACACAGTGTACGAGCTGGGTGGAGAGGTAGCTAACATGCTAACTAGCTTATATTCTATAATACACAGTGTACGAGCTGGGTGGAGAGGTAGCTAACATGCTAACTATCTTATATTCTATAATACACAGTGTAAGAGCTGGGTGGAGAGGTAGCTAACATGCTAACCAATTCACAACCAAGAAAATAACCTACAATGAGTTCAAATGGAATAAAACTAAATCACTAGAAAGCTATTATTAGTGTTCCAAATAGACTCCATCAATAAGAGAACTGCTGATGTGATATGACATGAATCATATTAATTAGCGTTGTCTGTTAGGACAAAACGTAAAATAAATTACACAATTAGTACTGGAGACTGAGGTAATTATCAGCTTAAATGAACCTTAAAACAACATAGTTTGAAGTTATACTGTGTGTGTGTGTGTCCGTCCGTCCGCCCCCCCCCCTGCAGGTACTACAGGGATATTGCGAAGATGCCCAGCATCAGTGATCAGGACATGGACGCCTACCTGGTGGAGCAGTCCCGTCTGCACGGCACCGAGTTCAACACACTGAGCGCGCTCAGTGAGCTCTACTTCTACATCAACAAGTACAAGGAAGAGGTGAGGGGGGGGGGGTGTCAGGGATTCAAACCGTTAGATTTATGATCCGTTGCACCACTAGTGCTAGATGAAACGTAAAGGTACAACTCAACCTCAACATTCATAAAATCCATCCAACCAGCCTCCTCATCCTGTCAGCTGATGGTTGGAAGTTACAATGAATGAAGAGCTTCGTGGTGTTTGGACTCCTTTAACTCCTTTAGCACCGAGACTTCAGACTCTCAATCCCTGAAGACATTTCATACAAAGCCCAAAACTGCCACTAAATGAAAAGTCAGGGAATCACTAAAGTTCATTGGGATTCGTCCATTAGGAACTATAAATATCTGTAGACAATGTCATGGCCATCCATCTAATCTTCATTGGGATGTTTCACGCTGGGGCCAAGGTGTCAAACTGACCGGAACCAGAACCCCGTTGAGCCTAAAAGTGTTGTAACCTGATGCACAGACCGCCTTTAAATATTCAGAGCACATTCTGGATACGGACACCGGTCCATCAGTGATGTTAGAGACACATTTAAATTATTATTTCTTGTCTTTCCTCTCCGTCTCTGCAGATCCTGACGGCGTTGGACCGGGACGGGTACTGTCGCAAACACAAACTGAGGCACAAACTGGAGCAAGCCATCAACCTGATGTCTGGGAGCAGCTGAGAGGAAGGGGGGGGGGATCGAATGGACTGATGGGGTGGGATGGGGGAGGGTGGGGGAGGGTAAGAAGAAGAATGGGGAAGTGAAGGCATTCTGTTTATCTGAACTGTTTGAACAGTCAGCTGATCTGCCAATGGCTGTCAGACCCTTTAGCGATCAATCCAACAGCAATTTACCGATTGATTGATTTGAAGACTGATTAACTGGACGGCCTGGGACCCCCGACTACCTCCGGTTGGGTTTGGGGCAGAAAATCAGTTTCCAAACTGGTGACTTCAACGTGGACTGAAGTCATTTTGTGGGCAAAAAAACGAACAACCAAACCTTCTGTTGGTTTAGATTTAAATTCAATAGCAGGGATCAAAGCAAAGGGGGGGCCTTGGAATAGACCTGGAAACTAAAGACTGAGTCAGGTGACCTGAGGACTAATCGATCCTGACTTCAGGACTCCCAGCTCGGACGCTGGATCGAAAAGCAAAAAGGTCAAGTCAAGTCTCCGTTAACAAGCTACGGACTTCATCCTTTGAAAAGACCTTGATCGGGTGTAAAGGATCAGGAACCGAGGGGTCATAGGAAGAACCCAACAGGTTTCACTTTACCTTGAGAGTCCCATCGAAGTCCGGAACGAATCCGGGGCTGAATACCAAAAAGGTCAAGTGGAGGTTTTGAATCCTCGAGTTGGAAACGTCCGGATTCACTGCGAGACGTTCAATGTCAAGCTTTAAGGAAGGAAGTCAAACGAAGGGTTGGCGAAGGATTCGGGAAAGGTTGTTTCAAGCTTTAACGAAGAAGGAAGCAAATATAAACTGATGACCTGCCCTCAACCTTGAAATCCCTGCTTGGTCTTAAAGCGATGAACAATAGGAATTCATCTTCAGAGGAAGTGAAATAAAGACTCTCGATTTGACTTGACCTTTGACCGATCGGCCGAGCCTCATCAGGATTCTAGAGGTTTCTAAGTTGCTATATAACCACTCGATGTTTCTTCTCTGGACAATCACTCTGTACCACAGCACACTGAGCCCGATGCCTACCGACCGACCAGTACCTGTGTCCATGAACCCGTCCTCTTTTCCTATCCCTTCCATCCTCAACTCCTCAGAATTTCACCACCTTCTTTGCTTTACCTCGTTTCCTCTCTATCTTCCACCTCTCCTTTCCTTCCTTACCAGTTTCCTCTCACCCCCCCCCCCCAATCGACCCCGCTCATTGGTCAGTCCTGCTGGCCTCTGGCCATCCTATTGGCCAGGAAGACTCTTTAGTAATTTACTGCCCGACCAATCAAGACTGTGGAATTCGCCCAGAATCATGAATAATTAAAAGGAAATTAATCCAGAAAGACGTTTTGAATACATTCCAGCACACAGGCACAGGTCTGTAGACGAGCAGGTTGGCTAACGCTAACGTGGACCGACCGCCAGTTTTTTTTCAGGACCAGAACGACCTGGAAAATCGGGGTTCTGGATTCGGCACCAAGTCGGTGAACTTTTGTCGCCGTTTTTTTGGTTGCGGATCGCTTCATTGTCGAGCCTTGCACACACATGCACGCGCACACACACACACACACACACACACACACA